ACTCAAGGTCATTGCGTGCTGCTTGCTCCGCATGTTGCTCCTCTCTGTGTTCCGCCGCTCTCCCCTCCTCTGGTCGACTCAAGGTCATTGCGTGCTGCTTGCTCCGCATGTTGCTCCTCTCTGTGTTCCGCCGCTCTCCCCTCCTCTGGTCGACTCAAGGTCATTGCGTGCTGCTTGCTCCGCATGTTGCTCCTCTCTGTGTTCCGCCGCTCTCCCCTCCTCTGGTCGACTCAAGGTCATTGCGTGCTGCTTGCTCCGCATGTTGCTCCTCTCTGTGTTCCGCCGCTCTCCCCTCCTCTGGTCGACTCAAGGTCATTGCGTGCTGCTTGCTCCGCATGTTGCTCCTCTCTGTGTTCCGCCGCTCTCCCCTCCTCTGGTCGACTCAAGGTCATTGCGTGCTGCTTGCTCCGCATGTTGCTCCTCTCTGTGTTCCGCCGCTCTCCCCTCCTCTGGTCGACTCAAGGTCATTGCGTGCTGCTTGCTCCGCATGTTGCTCCTCTCTGTGTTCCGCCGCTCTCCCCTCCTCTGGTCGACTCAAGGTCATTGCGTGCTGCTTGCTCCGCATGTTGCTCCTCTCTGTGTTCCGCCGCTCTCCCCTCCTCTGGTCGACTCAAGGTCATTGCGTGCTGCTTGCTCCGCATGTTGCTCCTCTCTGTGTTCCGCCGCTCTCCCCTCCTCTGGTCGACTCAAGGTCATTGCGTGCTGCTTGCTCCGCATGTTGCTCCTCTCTGTGTTCCGCCGCTCTCCCCTCCTCTGGTCGACTCAAGGTCATTGCGTGCTGCTTGCTCCGCATGTTGCTCCTCTCTGTGTTCCGCCGCTCTCCCCTCCTCTGGTCGACTCAAGGTCATTGCGTGCTGCTTGCTCCGCATGTTGCTCCTCTCTGTGTTCCGCCGCTCTCCCCTCCTCTGGTCGACTCAAGGTCATTGCGTGCTGCTTGCTCCGCATGTTGCTCCTCTCTGTGTTCCGCCGCTCTCCCCTCCTCTGGTCGACTCAAGGTCATTGCGTGCTGCTTGCTCCGCATGTTGCTCCTCTCTGTGTTCCGCCGCTCTCCCCTCCTCTGGTCGACTCAAGGTCATTGCGTGCTGCTTGCTCCGCATGTTGCTCCTCTCTGTGTTCCGCCGCTCTCCCCTCCTCTGGTCGACTCAAGGTCATTGCGTGCTGCTTGCTCCGCATGTTGCTCCTCTCTGTGTTCCGCCGCTCTCCCCTCCTCTGGTCGACTCAAGGTCATTGCGTGCTGCTTGCTCCGCATGTTGCTCCTCTCTGTGTTCCGCCGCTCTCCCCTCCTCTGGTCGACTCAAGGTCATTGCGTGCTGCTTGCTCCGCATGTTGCTCCTCTCTGTGTTCCGCCGCTCTCCCCTCCTCTGGTCGACTCAAGGTCATTGCGTGCTGCTTGCTCCGCATGTTGCTCCTCTCTGTGTTCCGCCGCTCTCCCCTCCTCTGGTCGACTCAAGGTCATTGCGTGCTGCTTGCTCCGCATGTTGCTCCTCTCTGTGTTCCGCCGCTCTCCCCTCCTCTGGTCGACTCAAGGTCATTGCGTGCTGCTTGCTCCGCATGTTGCTCCTCTCTGTGTTCCGCCGCTCTCCCCTCCTCTGGTCGACTCAAGGTCATTGCGTGCTGCTTGCTCCGCATGTTGCTCCTCTCTGTGTTCCGCCGCTCTCCCCTCCTCTGGTCGACTCAAGGTCATTGCGTGCTGCTTGCTCCGCATGTTGCTCCTCTCTGTGTTCCGCCGCTCTCCCCTCCTCTGGTCGACTCAAGGTCATTGCGTGCTGCTTGCTCCGCATGTTGCTCCTCTCTGTGTTCCGCCGCTCTCCCCTCCTCTGGTCGACTCAAGGTCATTGCGTGCTGCTTGCTCCGCATGTTGCTCCTCTCTGTGTTCCGCCGCTCTCCCCTCCTCTGGTCGACTCAAGGTCATTGCGTGCTGCTTGCTCCGCATGTTGCTCCTCTCTGTGTTCCGCCGCTCTCCCCTCCTCTGGTCGACTCAAGGTCATTGCGTGCTGCTTGCTCCGCATGTTGCTCCTCTCTGTGTTCCGCCGCTCTCCCCTCCTCTGGTCGACTCAAGGTCATTGCGTGCTGCTTGCTCCGCATGTTGCTCCTCTCTGTGTTCCGCCGCTCTCCCCTCCTCTGGTCGACTCAAGGTCATTGCGTGCTGCTTGCTCCGCATGTTGCTCCTCTCTGTGTTCCGCCGCTCTCCCCTCCTCTGGTCGACTCAAGGTCATTGCGTGCTGCTTGCTCCGCATGTTGCTCCTCTCTGTGTTCCGCCGCTCTCCCCTCCTCTGGTCGACTCAAGGTCATTGCGTGCTGCTTGCTCCGCATGTTGCTCCTCTCTGTGTTCCGCCGCTCTCCCCTCCTCTGGTCGACTCAAGGTCATTGCGTGCTGCTTGCTCCGCATGTTGCTCCTCTCTGTGTTCCGCCGCTCTCCCCTCCTCTGGTCGACTCAAGGTCATTGCGTGCTGCTTGCTCCGCATGTTGCTCCTCTCTGTGTTCCGCCGCTCTCCCCTCCTCTGGTCGACTCAAGGTCATTGCGTGCTGCTTGCTCCGCATGTTGCTCCTCTCTGTGTTCCGCCGCTCTCCCCTCCTCTGGTCGACTCAAGGTCATTGCGTGCTGCTTGCTCCGCATGTTGCTCCTCTCTGTGTTCCGCCGCTCTCCCCTCCTCTGGTCGACTCAAGGTCATTGCGTGCTGCTTGCTCCGCATGTTGCTCCTCTCTGTGTTCCGCCGCTCTCCCCTCCTCTGGTCGACTCAAGGTCATTGCGTGCTGCTTGCTCCGCATGTTGCTCCTCTCTGTGTTCCGCCGCTCTCCCCTCCTCTGGTCGACTCAAGGTCATTGCGTGCTGCTTGCTCCGCATGTTGCTCCTCTCTGTGTTCCGCCGCTCTCCCCTCCTCTGGTCGACTCAAGGTCATTGCGTGCTGCTTGCTCCGCATGTTGCTCCTCTCTGTGTTCCGCCGCTCTCCCCTCCTCTGGTCGACTCAAGGTCATTGCGTGCTGCTTGCTCCGCATGTTGCTCCTCTCTGTGTTCCGCCGCTCTCCCCTCCTCTGGTCGACTCAAGGTCATTGCGTGCTGCTTGCTCCGCATGTTGCTCCTCTCTGTGTTCCGCCGCTCTCCCCTCCTCTGGTCGACTCAAGGTCATTGCGTGCTGCTTGCTCCGCATGTTGCTCCTCTCTGTGTTCCGCCGCTCTCCCCTCCTCTGGTCGACTCAAGGTCATTGCGTGCTGCTTGCTCCGCATGTTGCTCCTCTCTGTGTTCCGCCGCTCTCCCCTCCTCTGGTCGACTCAAGGTCATTGCGTGCTGCTTGCTCCGCATGTTGCTCCTCTCTGTGTTCCGCCGCTCTCCCCTCCTCTGGTCGACTCAAGGTCATTGCGTGCTGCTTGCTCCGCATGTTGCTCCTCTCTGTGTTCCGCCGCTCTCCCCTCCTCTGGTCGACTCAAGGTCATTGCGTGCTGCTTGCTCCGCATGTTGCTCCTCTCTGTGTTCCGCCGCTCTCCCCTCCTCTGGTCGACTCAAGGTCATTGCGTGCTGCTTGCTCCGCATGTTGCTCCTCTCTGTGTTCCGCCGCTCTCCCCTCCTCTGGTCGACTCAAGGTCATTGCGTGCTGCTTGCTCCGCATGTTGCTCCTCTCTGTGTTCCGCCGCTCTCCCCTCCTCTGGTCGACTCAAGGTCATTGCGTGCTGCTTGCTCCGCATGTTGCTCCTCTCTGTGTTCCGCCGCTCTCCCCTCCTCTGGTCGACTCAAGGTCATTGCGTGCTGCTTGCTCCGCATGTTGCTCCTCTCTGTGTTCCGCCGCTCTCCCCTCCTCTGGTCGACTCAAGGTCATTGCGTGCTGCTTGCTCCGCATGTTGCTCCTCTCTGTGTTCCGCCGCTCTCCCCTCCTCTGGTCGACTCAAGGTCATTGCGTGCTGCTTGCTCCGCATGTTGCTCCTCTCTGTGTTCCGCCGCTCTCCCCTCCTCTGGTCGACTCAAGGTCATTGCGTGCTGCTTGCTCCGCATGTTGCTCCTCTCTGTGTTCCGCCGCTCTCCCCTCCTCTGGTCGACTCAAGGTCATTGCGTGCTGCTTGCTCCGCATGTTGCTCCTCTCTGTGTTCCGCCGCTCTCCCCTCCTCTGGTCGACTCAAGGTCATTGCGTGCTGCTTGCTCCGCATGTTGCTCCTCTCTGTGTTCCGCCGCTCTCCCCTCCTCTGGTCGACTCAAGGTCATTGCGTGCTGCTTGCTCCGCATGTTGCTCCTCTCTGTGTTCCGCCGCTCTCCCCTCCTCTGGTCGACTCAAGGTCATTGCGTGCTGCTTGCTCCGCATGTTGCTCCTCTCTGTGTTCCGCCGCTCTCCCCTCCTCTGGTCGACTCAAGGTCATTGCGTGCTGCTTGCTCCGCATGTTGCTCCTCTCTGTGTTCCGCCGCTCTCCCCTCCTCTGGTCGACTCAAGGTCATTGCGTGCTGCTTGCTCCGCATGTTGCTCCTCTCTGTGTTCCGCCGCTCTCCCCTCCTCTGGTCGACTCAAGGTCATTGCGTGCTGCTTGCTCCGCATGTTGCTCCTCTCTGTGTTCCGCCGCTCTCCCCTCCTCTGGTCGACTCAAGGTCATTGCGTGCTGCTTGCTCCGCATGTTGCTCCTCTCTGTGTTCCGCCGCTCTCCCCTCCTCTGGTCGACTCAAGGTCATTGCGTGCTGCTTGCTCCGCATGTTGCTCCTCTCTGTTCCTTCTTTTCCTGCTCTCCCCTCCTCTGGTCGACTCAAGGTCATTGCGTGTTGTTCGCTCTGTGCGGCCTTTCCATCCCCTCCTCTCCCTCTCAAGTAAGCGATTTTTGAGAATTCTAGAAAATCGCTCACAACGGTTGACACAGTCAGCTCTGCGGCTCGTTGACATCCTCCCACTCAGTCTCCCTGTATCTCCCTTCCCCCGTTCTTTCTTTGCCTCCTTTCCCCCGTGCTGTCTCTGTCCCCATTCCCCCGTGCCCTCTCTCTCTGTCCCCTTTCCCCCGTGCCCTCTCTCTCTCTCCCATTCCCCCCACAGCAACTTGCCCTACAACCAGCTCTCCGGCTCATTCCCCGGCTTCCTCGCTAACCTGACGTTTCTCACTTTGATGTAAGCATGATGTAAGCATGATGTGAGGATGATGTGGGTAGGCATGATGGCCCCTGTTATCAGGTGTCTGGGCATGATAACAAGGGCTTTTCTAATGCACTCTCGCCTTGACGACTCATTCACGCAGCTTACCAGCACGTTCACATGTTCGCCTTGCCGCCTCTCCACCCCACTTGCCGCCTCTCCACCCCACTTGCCGCCTCTCCACCCCACTTGCCGCCTCTCCACCCCACTTGCCGCCTCTCCACCCCACTTGCCGCCTCTCCACCCCACTTGCCGCCTCTCCACCCCACTTGCCGCCTCTCCACCCCGCTTGCCGCCTCCCTCCCTCCTTCTCAGTCACTTCAATAATTGTGTCCTTCCGTGTCCTCCTCCTTCCCTCTATCCATGTAGCTCTTGTTGCGCGTCTGGTGCGCGTATGCGGGTCAACGCACACTCAAATTATGTAGCTCTTGTACACTTCCCTCCCTGCCCGTCCCCGCACCCAGTGACATGAGTGGTAACCAGATCAGCGGCTCCCTCCCATCCTCGTTAGGAGACTTCACAAACCTCTTCAGATTGTAAGGGACACTTAAGGTCCATAGCCATGCCATGCCATATCATGCCACGCCATGCCATATCATGCCACGCTATGCCATGCCATGCCATGCCACGCCTTGCCATGCCACGCCACGCCACGCCACAGCACAGCATACCATGCCAGGCCATGCCATGCCATGCCATAACATACCATGCAATGCCATACCATATAATATCCAATGCCATGCCAAACCACACCACGCCATGCCGTACCATACCATACCATACCATACCATACCATACCATACCATACCATACCATACCATACCATACCATACCATACCATACCATACCATACCATACCAAACCATACCATACCATACCACAACACACCACACCACAACACACCACACCACACCGCACCACACCACACTATACCATATCATTCCGTGGCCATATTTCGTGCAAGTGAGCAAAAGTATGAGGAGAAACAACGGAGCTTGCCATTGTCGTCATTGCTGCTGTATAGAAGCAACAACCGAACAAAAGCAGCAACTCCCCCGCCATGCCTGTTCTCTTCACGGGCATGGGCAGGCAACTATCCAACAACAGCATCACTGGCAGCATCCCAGAGGCTATGGGCCGCCTTTCCGGACTTGCCTACCTGTGAGCACCGCAGCCCACCTGTGAGCACCGCATCCCACCTGTGATCACCACAGTCCACCTCTGCGCACCACTGATTCACCCCTGAATACTCTTGTTTCAAGGCTTCTTGAAAAATCTCACCTGCAACCATCACCTATTCACCCTTATCTGAAACATCTCAACATGTGACTTTTGAGACGTCTCAAAAGTCTGAAACATTTCAACATGTGAGCAGCATGTAAGCTTCCTTCATTCCCCAACCCTTCCCTCGCCCTCCCTTCCCTTTCATCCTCTTCCTTTCCCCGTCCCTCTGCGTAGCCCTCAAATCTCCCTCCTGCTCTCCTCTCCCTCTGCTCCTCTCCCTCCGCCACTCTCCCTCCCCTCCTCTCGAGCCTCTCCTCCCCTTTGCAGCTACCTTGCAAGGAATCAAATCAGCTGTCGGTCGCACCGCATCATGCCTTCTTCCTTAGACGCCGGTCCACCAAAAAATGCTCTCTTATCCTCCCATTTGCAACTACCTTGCAGGGAATCAGTTCTAGGTCTCACTCCTTGCATTCTTCCATTCGAGTCTAAAAAAAATGCTATCTTCTCCTCCCCCGCCCTCCCCGGCAGTCAACTTGGAGGGAATCAGCTGTCAGGTTCGCTGCCAGCATTCTTTTCCAATAGTCGAATCCCAAAATCACATTTCCCCTCGCCTGTCTCTCCTCCCCCCGCCCTCCCCGGCAGTCAACTTGGAGGGAATCAACTGTCGGGGTCGCTGCCGGCTTTCTTTTCACAGCTCACATCGCTTGATACCGTGTAAGCCAGGCAGGATTAAACACTGGCGATTTTGAGGCTTCTCAGAAGTCACCATTTGAGGCGCCTCAGAAGTCACCTTTTGAGGCGCCTCAGAGGTCGCTTGATGGCATGTAAGCTGGGCAGTAATAAGCAGTGGCAATACACTTTGCAAATACTTTTCTCAATACACTTTGCCAGTAGCCAGTGCTGTTGCGGTATATTGCGGTTGCATCAACTTGTCTCTCTTTGTCGATGTTCCTTTCACTGATTTGAGTCGCAACACTTTGCCAATACTTTTGTCAATACACTCTGCCAGTAGCCAGTGCTGTTAGGGTATATTGCGGTTGCATCAACTTATCTCTCTCCCTGTCCATGTCCCCTTTCACTGACTCGAGTGGCAACAACCTTTCTGGCCAGTACTATTTGCCACTACGCTCAACCTGTCTCACCCGTGTATGAAGAAGGGTTTTGACACGTCTCAAAGCCCTTCTTCATACTTCTGGCCAATATTATTTGCCCCTACGCTCAACCTGTCTCACCCTTCTGGTGTTCCCTTGCAGCGACTTGAGTCGCAACAGCCTTTCTGGCCCACTCCCTCCCTCTGCCTTCAACTGGTCTCTCTCCCTGGTGTAAGCACTTTGAGTGAACATCATCTTTCCCCCTATACATTCGACTGGTCTTTCCCTCCCTCTGTGTTTAACTGGTGTCTCTCCCTGCTGTAATTCTCCGAGTGAATGCTTCCTCTCTCACCTCTCAACGGTCAACTGGTCTTTCTCCCTGCTGCAACTGAAACATGGCTGAAGTGCCTAAAATGATCAACACGTTCTCGCTCTCTCACCTTTCACCAGTTTTCTCGCTTTTCTCCTGCTTTCCCGTAAGCCTCATCAGCTTGCTGTTTATCGGTTCCCCTCTCTTCTCCTGCTACTCGCATAACTTGCTTTTGGCGTGAACATGAATCAGGGATTTATCTGGGAACGGCCTGTCAGGGGAGCTCTCTTGAGGCGCCTCAAGATTCACCCTTCTCTTCTCCTGCCTCTCGCATAACTTGCTTTTGGCCTGGTCATGTATCAGGGACCTATCTGGGAACGGCCTGGCAGGGGAGCTTCCTGCTTATCTTGGCGACTATGTTGCAGAGATGTGAGTGATGATGCTCTTGACTTATCCACTGTTGCACTCTCACGCTCACACACTCTCACTCTAACACTCACACTCACACTCTCACTCTCTCAGTCGCACACTCTTGCAATCACACACTTGCCCTGAGAACAGCCTATCAGGGGAGCTTACTGCGTATCTTGGCGACTATGTTGCAGAGATGTGAGTCACACCCCTGCCCGCACTCTCCGCTCATGCACTCACACTCTCACAATCTCACAACCTTGCACAATCTTGCACACTTGCACTATCACTCTCACCCTCGTGCTCTGCAAACAACTTGTCAGAGGGGCTTCATGCCTATCTTGGCGACTATGTTGCAAAGATGTGAGTGATGCTCTTGGCAAATGCACACTCACACACACCCTCTCACTCACACTCTCGCATTCTCAGAATTTCATGCTATCACAATCTTGCACACTCTGCACTCGCACCCTCACACTCTTTCTCTGGGAACAGCTTGTTAGGGGATCTTGCTGCGTATCTTTGGAGCTTTGTAAGGAGCACCCTCGCTTGTCCCACAGACAACACTCGCCCCAGGCAACACACCCTGCGTCTCTCCAGTGCAAGCGGAGAGGAAACCAGTTTGGTTTCACCCATCAAACTCCGTTCCCCGCCCCACCACCCCCTTGTGTTTGCAGATACGTGGACATGAAACAGGGACCTCCACTTGCCCCCCAGACAGTACACCCTGCCCGTTCGTGCTAATGAGTTCCTTGACAACGTTTTTTCCCACATGTGATGAGGCGATTTTTGAGTCGACTCAAAAAGTACACCCTGCTCGTTCGTGCTAATGACTTCCCTGACAACGTTTCTTCACACACCACCACCCCTGTTTACCCTGGCAGAGACATGGATAGCACCCTCACTTGCCCCCCAGACGGCACACCCTGCTCTCTCCGTCTCGAAAGAAGGGTGGCTCCACATTTCACCAACGCGCCCTGCTCGCCCTGTGTCCAAACTCTTGTTTCTCCTTGCAGAGACGTGGATAGCACACTCACTTGCCCCGCAGATGGAACACCCTGCTCGATCCAGCTCAAGAGGAGGGCTGCTGCATATTATCCCAACGACTTCTGTCTCCGCGTTTGCCCCTCCTTCTGCCAAACCTGTGTTGCCCCGCCGGATGATGGCTCGGGCGGGGGATCAGACGGAGGCTCGGGGGGAGGGTTGGGAGGAGGGTTCGGTGGGGGGTTTGGTGGGTTCGGGGGAGGGTTGGGTGGGAGTAGCATTGGAGTTTTGGGTAGCACTGGGGGGTTTAGTACTAATGGGGGGGGGATGGAGGGAAGGAAAGGCTTGACTAGTTTTGGTTTGGTTGGCAAAAGAGGTGCTTATGGGAAAGGGCACCAACACTAGTGTACCACATATTCTATGTTTTATTATAGTCGATCTTTCAGTTCAAGTGATACCAGATTCTTTATGTCCCTTGAACTATGTACCGTATACTTGAAGATGAGGTGGCAAATGGAACAAACAGTGTACAGTATTATACAATCGCTTGTTAGGCTATAGTGAGGTACTCTCTAGAGGGTACAACCTTTCAAGGTTGTCTATTTGTAATCCAACCCTTTGCTAGTCATCCATTCTGCTACATGCTTTCCTGAGATGGTATCAGATGGTTAGTCCTAGGCCACCTACGTCTTAGATTGCCGTCCAGGCAGCCAGGCACCCGTCAAACTACCCAGCCAGCTGTCCAGCCGGCCAGCAAGCCAACCAAACGTTCAGCCAGCCAGCTAGCCAGCCAGCCAGCCAGCGCCTAGGCCGTCAGTCGCCCCGTGCAGCCCGTCGCGCCTTAGGTCGCCCGTTGCCCTGTACGGCTTGTCGCGCTTAGCAGCAGCGCGTGCCACATTAGGGCACATAACGGCGGCACGCGCCCCTGCAGAGCGCATCATAGCAGCACACGCCATAACATGGTGTGTAACAGCAGCGCGCACTGTAGCCCGCGCCAGCGCACACACCAGCACGCACCCGCGCAAGCTGCAGCACGGACGAGCATGCACAACCGCGCGCACCAACGCCACCCGCCAGCGAACTTGCGCCAGCAGCAGCTAGCGCGCTCAGGCAGCAGCTAGCACGCCGGCATCAGCTACTACCGTGGCCCGCCACCAACAGCCCATAGTGTGCCAACAACTGCAGCTATTGCGCTAACAGGAGCTGCAGAGAGCCGCCAACAGCTAGCCAAAAAAAAAAAAAACACACACACACACATAGACACACACACACACACACACACACACATACACACACACACACACACACACACACACACAAACAAACAAGACAAGAAAAAGCACTCCTGCAACCTTTCGATCAGATTTACATTTTCTACCACTTGCGTTAGGCATACTATAGGTTTCGGATCTAGAGATTATATAATTCACAGCCGCCCGCGTTGTAGCATTTTGGGCCTGACTCCAGTCTCAATTGCCCTGGCTGATCCTACTTCAGGACCAGCAGTCACTCGCGGTTCTACCACCCTCTCCTACTTGGCTGTCCCTTCTGGTTCCCTCATTGGACTCTACATCCCCTCGTTCTCTCGGGACTTGGTGGGTGTTGGATACCTTAAGGATTGTGAGATCACAGTCACTTTTCCTGCGCATGGGAGGACTGCGATATGTACCGATGCTTCCACCAGGGCACTTCTTGCCACGTCCACCAGGGAGCCCCAGATTGCTGCGTCGTGCTCCTGTCGGTCGCTCTCTCACCCAACCGTCCAGAGACACCACCGTCTTGTTCACGCGTCCTTCACTTATTTGCAGTGCACCACCCTCAAGGGTAGGCTGTGCGCCATCCCTCACTCCTCCTCCCTTCGACCAGCCACCGAGCCCCTCCAGACTCTACATTGGACGTCTGGGACCGCGCCCCAGTCGCTAGGCCCGAGAGGGGGGGGGGGGGGGGGGGGGGAACGGGGAGCGCTTCTTCCTGGTGGTGGTTGACGACTTCACTTACTACAATACGGTGTTCCCCTTGCGACGGAAGTCCGACATGACTTCCACCCTGATCTTGTGGTTACTAGCCACTAGTGCCCAGCGTGGTAGTCGTGCCCTTTTTCTCCACTCCAATAGTGGGGATGAGTTTTGCTCTGGCGTGCTTGCCGTGCTCTGTTGCGAGCAGGACATCACTCACTCCGGGACCCTTGCGAATTCACCACAGCAGAATGGGGTTGCTGAACACCGCATAGACTTGGTTATGGAGATCGTTCGGACCTCCATGGTCCATGCCCGTGGGCCCCATTTTCTGTGGCCCTACGCGGTTCACTACGCCACCCACCAACTGAACCTCTAGCCGCGTGTCTCTCTCCTAGAGATTTCACCAACCTGTCTTTGGACTGGTTCCTCTTATGCTGCGTCGAAGTTTCGTGTTTGGGATGATATACCTCAGCGGCCAAAAAACGCCGCCCAATTTCGCGGTTCAGAAGGGACAACGGCCCCCCTCGGGATTGACGAGCTCGCGACGACCTCCGAGCTCCAAACTGGGCCCAAATGGCGTCCCAGGGGCCTCGGGAGCCCTCAGGAATGTCGACAATCCGACGACATAGGTTTGCGCTGGGAGATTCCCGAGAAGTAAATCTCAGCGGACAAAATAGGAAAGCTCGCCACGTCAAGCCGCGACGGCCGCCACGCGGACCAATAGGGGGGATCCAGACCGTCCCCACCGTGTACTAGGCTGCCACGACGTGGCCGTCGTGGCCACGCGTCGCTCCAGCGGTGATTTTCCCAAAGCGGGAATACGTTCACACCTTTGAAAATGTCAGAGCGCGATCCACGCGACAAAAATCGGACCGTCCAGGATGTAACTATTCTGTGGCATCGCGAGTTGCACGCGATGTCGGTGTCGACCAATTCATCCAAAGGCCCACAACCAAGCCACGCGGCACAATCTCAACACTGTCTAGGTTCAATGAACCTAAAGAAACAATCAAGCGCGCCGATTGTAAGTCGGCGCCGATCTTCGGGCGCCCACGCTAGGACTGCCACGGTGGGCTTCAATAAATCCGGGACCCTGGGAGATTCGAGTCGGCATGCTGTAATTTCGGTACTGAGAGGCCAATGTCGGCCCCAAGCCACGTAACACACGCCCATTCCATCGTGGAAAGGGCCTGGCTTACGCCCCTTTGGTGCAGCGCGAAGTAACATTAGCCATGCTTGGCACGTGGCACTTCGGGCAGAGCGCCGCCTATGCGAGAACACATGCACGGCGGCAGTAGCATAGGGGTGTGCGTGAAGCGCGGCAGCATCGGAGTCGCTCAGGACCATACCCGTCCGCTCAGGAACTGCACCGATCGACGTCGCGGAACAATCGGCGATACCTACACCGCCGAGCAGTTCCGCCAGATCATGTTCAGGGTGCTGCCGACGTGGGCGGCCAAGGCGTGGAACCCGCGGGGTACGGGCCCGTCGCAGACGCTATGGCGGTTTCTGCTGTTGAAGGTGCTCACGCTACTCTCCCACCACTCTCTTCTGCGCGGTGCAAGCATCCGCGAGATCACGCTCCCCGACATATTCTTGTACCGACTGGCGAGCACCTCGTCGGTGAACCCGGAGAACCAGCCGGTCGTCATGGTCATCGCTGCGCGGAACTCGAAGACGTCCAAGGATGCGCGTCTGCAGCAGAGCTACGCTGCGCGGCACCTCGAACCGGAGTTGTGCGCCGTCGGCGAGACGGGCCTGTGGTTGCACTTCATCCTCGACCAGATCGGCCAGTTTCACGGCGTCCGCCTCATTCCGCCGGTGGACACCAGCACACGCGCGAGCTGGTACAAGAAGCACCTCTTCTTCGCCAAAAACGACACCGACCAAGGGGAGCTCTCCGCGGCAAGCCACCAACGCTGGACGCGGCAGTTGTGGGACAAGAACGGGGTGTTCTTCAAGAGGAACGTGCACGCCGCTCGAGCGGGAGGGGCCCAGGAGCTGGCCATCGACGGCACGCCGCGCGCCGAGATCGCGGAGCTGGGTCACTGGGCGCTCGACAAGATGACGCGAGCGTACATCACCGCCATTCCGGTGGGGGTGGTGATGAAGAAGGTCGGTTACTCTGGTTACAAGCAGGACTACTTCTTGGGTCGGAGCAGGGTGGAGCCCTCCGATAAGCTCTTGAAGCTCCTCGCCGAGCACATCTTCCCCGGCGTCGACGACATGCTGAAGACGGTATGTTAGTCGACGCCCTTGTATCCTTGTTTCCGAGTCGTGTTGCCGACAGTGTCTGAACTCCTAATACACGTGACGAATTGCAGGCGGAAGGGAAGGCTGCCAAGGGGTCCGACGCCGACAAAGCCGCGGTGCACTTCTGGCGCACACTCCAGATGCTGCGCCGCATCGTCGCCGAGGACCTAGCGGTGAAGCTGGTCCGCACACCATGGCACCCGTACGTCCAAGGCTCCCTGCTCTGCCGGATCCCCCTCTTCCAGCACTGGGCGAAACGGGTCGAGAGGGTCGACACCGAGACGATCAACAAGCGTCGGGACCCGACCCAAATTCAGGCAGAGGTAAGTCGACGACGAGCTGGCTGTAGGGCATTCCAAACCACCTCGCGGCTAACATCTTTGTCCTACCGCTGCAGGAAATCTCTGTCCGCATGGACACCGAGTACTACAACATATCCCTCAAGGCGAAGCTGACGAAGGAGATGGAGCGTGCCGCGAACGAGAAGATTGACTTCCTGGAGGAGCTCGAGAAGCGCGACGACACCATCGCGTCTCTCACCGCCGAGATAACCCGTCTCACCGAGGCACTCCGTGTGTCAGAAGCACGGAGAGTGCCGGAGGCCCCGCCGTGTGCTACCGCGCAAGCTCCCAGCGAGGGTGGCTCGGCGGATTCGGCCAACATGGGAGCCGGCGCCGACGGAGGGGACGACAAACCCCCGCCACCCCCACAGACGGACGAGGAGGCTAGTTACGAGCTCAACGTGGTACAACCGTGGCGGGAGGCCAAGACCGTGAGGGACGCCTGGCGCCTCTGGAACTCCGCCACCGCTAATGACACCCGTCGGCTTTGCGACAGGATCGCCGAGCCGGGGTTCATCGACCGCCACACCCTCCTCGCCGGCGCTACGCAGGGTGCACTCAACAAGAGGGTGTGCCGCATGCTGAAGGTCATGGATGCGGTGCGCCAGCTACGCGCGAGCGACGGCGACGCCGACACCGAGGCCGTGGTCGACACACTGCACAGGATCGCGGCATCGGGCATCGGGACCTTCGCCGATGCCCTCACGGTGCTCAAACCGGGAACGGCACCGATGTTGTCCAAAGAGCCTGGTTTGGGAGTCAAGGGGCTGGGCCCCAAGGTGGTCTCGAAGCTACGCCTTGCCTGTGCGCTTGTGGCGCTCAACCTGAAGCAGAGTGATTGGGTCGAAACCCTGTTTCCAGACACGTGGGAGGAGCAGATGCCGAAGACCAAGGCCGACCTGGCGAAGCCGACGGCCCCGGCCAAGTCGACAGCACCGGCCAAGCCGACCGCTCCGGTGCACCGTCCTCCGACCAAGCGCAAGAAGTCGGCATGATCGTGCCTGTAGGATATGCGTGTGCGTAGTTCGATGCTGTTAACTGTGGCAGATTTGTACACCCCCCCCCCCCCCCCCCCCCCCCACCCCCCCTTCCCTTCTTTTTCCAAATGTTGTTCCGGTAGTTTGTAACAACCCACTGCAAGGCCCTTGCGAACCTACTGGGTCCCGCTGTGTTAAATGTAGTCGGTCGCTCAGTAAGAAACAAAAATACTATCCTTGCTGACATCTAAACACAGCTCGATGTCGACGTCTCGCATGATTGCATGTTGCTAGGGTGTCGACATATTCGCCGACAGAACTCGTCGCGGAGTAGCATGTGTCTACCTTCTCTATCATCGCTGCTCGCCGAGTAGCATGTTCCTTTTGATGTCGACATATTCGCCGACAAAGCGCATCGTTCAAAGTCGGCTAGCAAGTTTCAATGTGGACAGTGATTTACTAAAAAACAAAAAAGATTCGTGCCCTACGATACAAAAGTCATTAGAATTACTACGACATCGGCGCCGACCATACAATAGTACCCTGCACACCACAGCCCGCCAACTACGCATCCGTACTGCCCTTGCCCTGCTTGCCCTTCTTCCTCTTGCTGCTGCCCTTGCTCTGCTTAACCTTCTCCCCCTTCCTCCCCCTGTGATCCATATCGTACTCCATCCTCGCGTCACACGGCACATCGATGCCCTGCGCTTTGAGCTTGGGCCCGGCGACGGGGCACATTCCCCAGAACGCCAAGGTCTCGACCATCGCTCTTGCGATCATGTCGGCCTCGACTTCCTCAACTCCCTTCGCGAAGGCCCTGGCCACTGCCTGGCTCTGCAGCGATGGCGCGACGTTATGTGCAACCTCCCCCGCGGGAGCCTGCCTACTGCGTGCTATGTCGATCACCGCGTGCATCACCTCCTTGAAGTCCTCGGCCCTCGCCTCCCCCGCACCTGCCACCATCGCCGCCGCCTTCCCTTCGCCCACAGCACCGAGCACCGACGCCCCCGTCTCCAAGAAGCACCAGATGGCGCATGCCGATGCCGCTAACGCCTGGGCCCCCATCTCCGTCTTCTCGTCCGCCTTCCCCTCCACGCTCGCATCGACCTTCCCAAACGCCGCGCTCGCTGCGACCTTCCCATACGCCGCGCACATCGACACGCGATTTACCATCGCCGACATGAGAGCGTCCGTCTCTTCCTTGCCTTCCTCCGTGTCCTCGATGATGGGGAACCAGATCGCCGGCCAGAGCACGTCATGAAGCGCATCACCCGAACTCGCGTACCCACGGTACCTGCCGAGTATGTCGTCGAACCTGCCGCGCAAATACATTAGAATGACACGACTTCGTCAACATCAGCGTAATGACACGACTTGGTCGACAGAACTCGGCACGTCAGGATCCGTCTTACCGTGCTCTCGGATGGCACAAGCCTCTGGCCCACATCACCGTCCACATCCCAGTCGGCAAGAACTTGACATGCGCCCACACCTCCTTCCATTTATCCAACTCCCCCGGCTTCAAGACGGTGAGCTCCTTCATGAGCACCTTGCTCACGTAGCCGTCGTAGACGACGAACGCAATCGCGTGCTCGTAGGCCAGCTCCATCTTCTCCCTCGACTTGCCGATATACCGATTCTGTCCGTTTACCTTAATCTCGCCCACCCACCCTTGCCCGTCGCCAGCCTTGTCTCGGCGGATGCCATGACCCCTGCGTCCATGCTCTTTATCTCCCTCGCCGCCCTCCTCGTCCTCCTCCTCCGCCTTCTCCTTCTTCTTCGCCGGCTTACCCTTGCCGCCCGTCTTGTCCTGCTCCCCTTCCGCCTTCTTCCCTTTCTCTTCCGACATCAACTTCCCCGCAGACATCGCCCGCGTGCTCCTCTGAGAGACCGCCTTCCCTTTCCCGTTGTCGTCCTTTTCCTTCCGTCCAGCATTTCTCTCGGCGACAGCAGCCGTTGCGGCCGTCTGCTCCGCCGAACCCCCTCCGTGGGTCGCCGACGGCACCACATGCGCCGTGTCCATGATGGCCATAACAGGGGCGTGCTCGGGGCGATTTGCTGCCTCAAAATGGGCCATGACGACAGCGAGGTCGGAATGCTTGTCTGCGCGGCTGCCGGTGGCGAGCGCTGCACTCACTCCCTTCTCCGCCGCCACATCGACCACAGATGCACCTGGTGTGGGTGCGGTCGCGTTTACCGACGTCGGCGTCGCGCTTTTGCCGAGTTCCGGCTGGGTCACTGACGGAGCAGCCGCTTTGCGTGCGCCTAAATGGGCGCGAAGAAAAGCGGACTTGGGGTCCGCAGGCGGTGGGGCGGCCACCGGAGGCGCGGCAGGTGGGGCACCGGACGACTTGCCGGCAACCTGCGTAGTGACGGAGCGACGTGCTGTTCCAGGAAGGCCGGCGTCGACCACGGGATGTTGCTGCACGTCCCTGCTGTGTGCCTCCATGCGGCGGAGCATCTCCCTGAGCGCGGTACCACCGGGGGGGGCCTTAGCTGATGCCACGGCATCACCCTTAGCCGAAGCAGCCTTCGCGACGCCCTTGGCGGCAGCCGGGGCTGCTGGAGCTGGAGCAGCCTCCCCATCTTTGTTCGCACCTGACTGGCCGGCAGGCGCGCTGGTAGCCGCAAGGGGGTTACGGGGACTCGACTTGGTGGTGCCGGCAACCGTAGCAGAAGCAGGCTTGGCCGCCGCCGCGACGGACGGTCCCTTGGTGGTTCCGGAGTCGCCATCATTCGCCGCCTGAGCAGTTGGCACCTCCTTGTCGGTCACGCCTTTCCCACCGCTCGCCTGAGGATGGGTCTGCTCGGCGACCAAAGGCGGGCCAGTCGGAGCAGCTACGTTAGCGGCAACCCCGTCGGCAGGGCCACCCTCTACTCCCCCGCTTCCGCCTCCCTTGCTGTGCGACGTCCTTACCACCTTCCACCCCGCCTTCGTCTTCAGCTGGTCGACCACGCTCTGTTGCGCAGGCTTCGACCCGCGGCTACCGTCTGCTCCCTTGCTCCGCTTCGAGCTCTCCTTGTCGTCTCCGTGATGAGCGGAGCATTCAGAAACGGGCACCCCCCTTACTACTTGAACGTGCAACTCACATCGCGGATAGGGTGGTCGCAGTCGGCCAGCCTGACCTCCACCACTGCTTGTGATGGCGGCGCCCAGTCCCACATCCTACCGGGACGCCCCGGCTCGGCCAGGACAGCCGTGCGGAAGAACCTGAAGCACCGTGGTGGAGGGAGGCGGTCAGCGTGTGATACCCTGTGTCGCCGACTAACAAGCGGGTCATCGACGACAATTCAGCACTTACTTTAGCACGCGGGCGGCCTCGTCGCGGTGATACCCTTTACCGGTCTGCGGGTCGATGTGCCGGATTGAGGTCCTGCACACCTGTCCCTCAGCCTTCAACAGATCTCCAGGGTATAGGATGGCAATGACGCTGCAGTGCGTTCCTGGAAGCGGACCGAGGCTGCACATGCAATTCACGACGGCGTCAATCACAACACCACGCGATGTCGCGAGAACAAAAAACGACAACTGATCAACGGTGAAACAGCTCACATCGTTCTTAATGGGATAGCAGCGATGTCGGCGTCGAAAACCGCAGCAAAGCATGAATGGTCGGCCTCCTTCATGGCCGATCGAAGCGTGCCGACTCCGATTACCCACAAACGCTGGTTGTCGATCCCAAGTCGGGACCACGCGAACCTGACGGCACGATTGGGCAAGGAGGTTCATACAAGGGCGGTTGAGCAAACGCCGAAAAGTACACAGGGCGACTGCGTGTGGTCGACGCTTCCTAAGGTGGCCGACGTTCCTGGAGGGGGTCTATGCCTAATACCGCGCACGTCGACGTAAATCAGAAGGCCACTGCGCCGACATCAACACTAACCCTCTTTAGTCGGCGCCGACTACTCGAGTCCTACCTGATGCCGAAACCCAAACATCCGTCGTTGAACTCTATCTTGTGGTTGCGAAGAACTAAGAAGTCTTCCCACTCTAGAGTGAAGCTGAGACCACGACCCATTGGGTGACGAAGAGGGAAGTCAGCCGAAGGCGGCGCCGAGTTATCGGCGTCGGGGCTAGGGTCCATATCGACTAAGGGGAAGCGATATCACGATAGCACAGAGCAACGAAAGGAGAAAAAAAGGAGAAAAGGAGGAGCGAAACGAGATGCGGAAAATGAGGAGCGAGGCCACCATCCACAAAGAAAAGGAGACGGTGGCCCACCGCATCCCCGTTCAGCGTCGCCCAAGGGTGTGGGGCCTGGCTCGGCAGGGCTCTGAGGGCGCATGCGCAAGTGGAACAGGTGGTCCGACTCCGCTTCGGCAGGGCGTCGACCTCGCGTCCATTGGCCCAGGTCGGCGAGGGGACGCAATTTCGCATGCGCGCGGAGCGTCCATTCGCACGACACGTGTCGAGTTCGTAGCGGGTAACGAACCTCGTTCTCCGCGTTGCGGGCTTTTTTTTTTTTTCGCTCGCAACGAAATATCGCATGCGCCCGATGCGAAACCACGAGCGAACACGTGGCGTCACCGCAACGGGTCGCGAAATTGTCGAGCGTCCCGAGGGGGCCCCGAGTTTTTGCCCGGCCCTCGCCTGCCCGTCCGGGCAGGCCGCGATGGGTTACTAGGACCTCGCGGGCAGGTGGCACGTGTGGGCTGCCTTCGCGCGAGGGTAACTTTCCCACGTGCGAGGTGTCGCCAGTTCGCCAACCCCACCCGGTAACGTGGGCCGCTGTTCACTTTCGGAGCGGGGCTGCGGGGCGGCGGTCGTGCGCGCGTCAGTCGCCCGCCTCGTCATTCTCGGCTCCGACGACCCCCCTCGACGACACTGGCAAAACCGTTCTGACGACCGAATTCCGATGAGGCTTTCGGGACTGCCTTGTGTTTGTTCGCGACACCTCTGTGGACAAGCTTTCGGCTCGTACCCTCCCATGTATCTTCCTTAGTTTCCCGGCCGCCGCCCCTTGACTTTATCTTTTACCACCCGCCCCTCCACCGGTTCTTTATCTCTCGTGACGTTACTTTTGAGGAATCCATGTCCTTCTACGCCCACTACCCCCACAGAGGTCTCCTGGTTCCTCTCCTTCCCTTCTTCCTCGCCCCCACTCCTCCTCCAGGACACCCTCTCCACCCATGTCGTGCCCTGTCAGGTGTGTCTCACGTTACTCCTCTCCCCTCGGTACCACGTCAGGTGTTGTCTCCCTCCCCACAGTCGTTCTTACAGTCACTGCAATAGTCTTCTACACTGCCTCGTCTCCTCTTAAGGACCATCGTTCTGTCTTGTTTCACCCTAGTCCTCGTTCTCCGCCTCAGTGTGTTCTCCCATCACCTCCTGTGTCATCTCCTACCGTTTCCTCTCAACCTATCACTGACTACTACCGTACTACTTGTCCTGTTGTCTCACATGTTCTTGCCTACCTTGTCACGAACAGTAGTGCCTCTCAGTCGTCTGTCTCGGCTCTTGTCACTGCTGGCACTGACTTTGCCACCACCCGTCGCCTTGAGTACGCCACCCACGTGGTGGCTGCTCCTCCTACCCATCCTCTGACCGTCGGGGGTGAGTCTGTCTACCCGTGCCAGAAACAAAGGCTACCACCTCCTTTTGTTACACAAAATCATAACGTTTTACTCTTGTAGTTCTTTATAGGCCCTTTTTACCTGTTGGCGAAGTTTACGAGCTCTCAAGAAACGCAGTGACCTTGTAGGGCATCAAGTATATCGTTTTCTGCCGAATAAATACAGTATCTTATCCATACAATTGCGGAGAGTTACTCTACAATGGTAGTGAGCTCGACTACGGGGTTGGCACGAACTACTATGCGTGATCGTAACTTTGCTTACTTCCTTTGTGCTTGCACATTTACGGAGAAATCGGCAAGAGTTTCCACTAGCAAATTCGAAATTACAGAATGATTGAACAAGCAATGACAACAATGACTACATCAGGAACCTACCAACTCTGCAGCTAGCCTGGTGGACCGCCAGCACAGCTTGGTCGACCGCCTGCCAGCGTTGCGTAGAGGAGGCGAAAGCACTGCAGAAAGGCGACCTGCCAACACTAGAGGTCGACAGCGTGCCAACGCTGCAGCCGTGTGACTGTCCAGCATTACACCCGTGGATGGCAGCAGTGCGCCCGCTCGCATCTGTGCGCAGACGATTGGCCCGACTTGCATCGTTGTGCATCCGTCGGCTGTTGTCTGCGCCTGACGAGCCACATTGACTTCGGGATACCAGCCCGAAGTCGCCTTGGCCATCGCGACCTCGACGGCGTTCGCGTGCCTCTGCATAACTCGTCGAGCAGGTTACCCGGTCGACTTGGTCGACCACCGAGTGCTCTGGTCGACCACCAGGTGCCTCTGGTCGACCGTCAGTGCCTCTGGTCGACCATCAGGTGCCCCTGGTCGACCACAGCTCCCGTAGAGCTACCCCCTGGTCGACAGACCCCTTCCGTCGACCAGAACTGTCAGCTCTTGTCGCCGAGCTCCCCTCGTCGACCGCTGCTCACTTGTCAGGTCGACGGATTGCTCCGTCGACCTCCCGGTCGAGCTGCTCCTCCTGGTCGACGGCCCACCCGTTGCCCAACCCAGTCAGCTGCAGCTGTCAAGCTCTCTGGTCGACGGCTCCAGCCCCGTGACAGTGCTGTGCAGGTCGACAGCCACCTTGTCGACCTGCCCCGCAGAAGAAGGCCGTCGAGCACTCCTGGTCGACGGCAACACCACAGCGGTCCCCTGCAGCTCGACGAAGCCCGTCGAGCAGCTCTCCCACTATGAACAGTCGGATGCTTCTCCCGTACATCCGACCAAGTCGTCGGCGTTGCCCAAGCGAGGGCGGGGCCAACGCCCCACTCCCGTAAAAAACAATATGGTAGGCGCCGACAATTACGGTGATGGTGAGGTGACAATTGAGGAGAGGTGGCTTGCGGCGCATACAAGTATGTACAACATCCGATATGCACTAATCGTCAATCTACACTCTAGTTAAAAGGACCGTGTACACATACACGTTTAGTGTTTCGAAAACGCCCCATACCGATTCTGGCTCGATATGACGGACACCCTAAAATTCAGGGACTATCAATCAACAACGAAGATGGGAACTATATGTTCCAAGTGAGGATGGGGATGGGGGGGTGCCCCTGAAGTTTTCTCTGATCCACATCTATTTGCGTCAGGGTCACGGAACACTTACCCAGCTATTCAATATTCGCAGTAAACTGCACTACAAGAAAGTTTGTACCAGGGTATGTACCCCCAAAGGTGTGTCTTTAGGGGTGTGAAATTATCGCGAATAAGTATCCACTATGTTCAGCCTTCCTTTCCACACAAACCTAACTTTCAACACCTCGTCTCAGCTGACAGTCTGAACCGCGGGAGTCTCACTGACAAGCGATGACAACTAACACTGTCGTTGGCTAACACGTAGTCGTAATTAACAGCAGCAGGCGAGATAACAGCTAACAAGATGAAGCCGCAGCCAACGCCGCCTGTTGCGCTTCTGATAACCCTAATTTGGCTTGTAATCCCACTGTTCTGTGCGGTTCGAGGAGCTGCAGCGACTGATGCGGTGTTAAATGCCTCCCACAGTGCGTGAGCATAACCCTAGTTTCTACCGTCACTGGTTCCTTTAAGCGATCGTCACACGTTCTGGTGTGTCTCTGTCTCTTTATCAGACAGATAATGCGACCATGACCGTTCAAGGGTACATGCTCTAAGAATTGTTTCCCCTTCGAGAATCCTCAAATCTCGACTTGAAACGGTTACCCGTCTGTTTTTCTCCCTTTAACGCGGGTCGCTAGTACGTTTCAATGCCCACTGATATAACGCCTCGCTACCCACTGGGTCAAAACGAGGGTGTTATTTGGCGGCGGGATGCCCATTAACACTGAACCACAGGCGTTACAGCTGACATACGATTCGTGCTCCCTCCAATCCAACCTTGCCAGGGTTTTTTCTGAGGAAAAAACGAAGAAGAATATGTTCTTGTTCCCGCCAACCGCCGTGCCGGAGCCCGCACTGCCAGAACCGGCGGCAGCTTCTCTGGTTTAAATGCATCATCCCGTCGCGTCCGAGTTTTGAGGCGCCTGAAAAGCCGTCACGTCGCGTCCGAGTCACGACCCGACGTGTCGCAAAAAGAGCGTCGCCCATGCCTGTCAGCCAAGAGCGTCGCCCATGCCTGTCAGCCAAGAGCGTCGCCCATGCCTGTCAGCCAAGAGCGTCGCCCATGCCTGTCAGCCAAGAGCGTCGCCCATGCCTGTCAGCCAAGAGCGTCGCCCATGCCTGTCAGCCAGAATAAGCTGCTTTTGGGGCTTCGGGCCTTCTGTGCTCCTCTGACCCTTGAGGCGCTCAAAAATTGCCTTCGGGCCTTCTGCGGCGATTGAGGCGCCCATAAATTTGTCTTCGACCCTCCTCTAACGTTCGAGGCGCCTCAGAAGGTCCTTTTGCGATTCTGGTTGCCGTGAAAAACACTCACCACTCGCCTGCAGGGAGACGTTTGCGTAGACTGAAAAGTCACCCGCCGAACGGCTCCTTGTAGCTTTCTACCACTCGACCTGCGGCCCCCCCACCCACGTCCCTCACCTCCCGCACGGATTCTAGAAACTGCCGCGGTCCGCGCTGGACAGGGTCGTGCGT